GAAAGCTCGGGTGAATAAAGAAGTGGTTTCAGTCCTCAAACCGTCTTATTTGTCTTCTCTACTCATACATACAGAGCAAATGCGAATATCCGCCTCAATTCGTGAGAAATCTTAAGACTAAAGTAAGTCTTTTACACTCAAACCAAAAGCGTCACTGAACGAGAGAGAGAGAGAGGAGGAGATGAAAGTGGAACGGGGGGAGGAGAGGCAGGTAGATGACGAGCCAGCCTACCTTGCCCAGCGTGCCGGTGATGGCGCTGATTTGATTCATGCAACCGACCTCCTCGGCTACCCCGGCGCCATGATTGCCGTACAAACCGACAGCATGTACCTCGTCAACGAAGGAAAGCGCGTTGTAGTGCTGAGTCACTTCTAGCAGCTCGGTAATCGGACAAATTCCACCTGTGTGTGTAAAAAGGCCGAGGGCATAGTTAGAACCAGTAAAGAAAGTGAAGAATACGCATAAAGTGCATCTGTAGTGACGCGCAAACGCTTGCCTCGCGCGGCCGCTAACAGATTCGCATGCATTTGTGACTACCTTCGCCGGTCTGGCCAATCACCTTCAAGGCTGACTCACACAATAACTGCTCCCTACATGTTGGGAGGACCGCCACGCTCACACACTTGGGTCGCGGCATTCTTCCGAAAGTCATTTTCCCCCAATCTATTCGCTACTACCGCTGTACAGAATACGCTACTCCTTCCAAGTGGCGTCTCACTTCTTCTATTCCCCCCGCGGAACAGGGCTTGAAGATCACAGCGGCAAGGGTTTTACCTATTAACTTAATGCATTGCGATGTACTAACTGGAGAACACGATTCCCCGGGAGGGGAAACCATAAAGCGGCAGAGAGTGACTGGAGGACTGAGAGTCAGACTGGAATGGATCCTTTTCAATGTGGCCTTTATAACGCTCTTACTGATCCCAACTCTTCCTACAGTGGCCCTGTGCATTTCGATGGCTAGAGCTGATGAGCCGAGAGTAGTTCGACGAAGGAAAGTCCCGTGAACGCACCTTTGTTTCTGGTATGAATAACTAAGCTCCCTCTCTCTTTTTCCTCCCCTCCTTCTTTGCTTTACGAGTTTTGAACTGACAGGAGAACAGTATCTTCTGGACTCTGAGGTAAAGCAAAGTCAGTTTAACCTGTCATTGAATGCACCGTCTCGAAGGCCACCAATTTTGGCACTTCCGCGGGCATCTTTCGCAACAGTTCCCTCAAGTGATTCGGATCGTTGTGCCGGTAGATGTGTTTTGCGGCCCGACTGGTACGTATACCGTGTATCATCGAGGCGTGATTGCCCGCGTCTGAGAGAATCTGCAAATCGGGAATTGTGGTGCCGAGGGTGTAGAGTGTGGCCTCATTGGCGACGTAACAACTGGAGAAGACCAGAGCCGCCTCTTTGCCATGCAGGTCGGCGAGCTCGTGCTCGAGAGCCTCGTGGAGGAGGGAGTTGCCGGAGATGTTGCGTGTTCCGCCCGAACCGACACCGAAACGCTTAATGGCATTCCTGCAGCAGACAAAACGGGTTGGGTTAAGAGTGGGTATTCACAGGTA